TCTACTCCATATTGTTTCAGATTATGGAACAATACTCTTCTCCAGACTGAGGGACTGACCACCTCAAAACTTTAAGGGTGATGGACTGATTACATCGTCTTCAAGTCTCTTCTGCTTCTATCAACTTTTCTGTACTCGACTGAAGAAGCCTACTGTGTAAGCGAAACGTTTCGAAATAAAGATACCTAACTGTTGCATATGTGTCTTACCTAACGACATCCATGATGCAAGACTTTACTAACACTTAACCAACATTGAATTTTTTTTTTTTTGGCTTTAGATACTCGAAGTGCAACTCAATAAGACTCTTGAAGCAGCGACTTGTCACTAGTCCTCATCTTGATTTAACTTTTTTGCCTTTTCATCTGGTTGTGTAATCTTCCAAAACACATCCAGTGGCTTATCAGTAAGATCGTTAAGCTTTGAACGCAAATGACAAGCAAGTCATGAAAATTTCATAGTGACATTTGATAGAATTTTGAAACATACTGCATACAATGCCCGTGGTGATAGTTGACTGCTAGCAGCTACAGTGAAACCAAAGCTTTAATTTAGTACTCCTTATCGTAATGCTTAAAAAAAAAAAAAAGGAAATTTTTTTAAGTTGCTGTCGCACATTCCGAAGTATCAACATATTTCTTTTTCCTTGACTTACTTACGGTGTTGTCATTACTTTTGTCCTGACTATTGTTCTTGTAGTGTTTTAAATTCTATAACACAATGACACACGAAATAATTTGCTTTCCGAAATACAGTGAAACTTCTATATAAGCGGACACTGGTGGAGACGCAGTAAGTGTTGGTGAGAGAGAGAGAGAGAGATTTCGTTCGGATTTTTAACCCCGGAGGGTTAGCCACCCAGGATAACCCAAGAAAGTCAGTGCGTCATCGAGGACTAACTTATTTCCATTGTGGTCCTTAATCTTGTCCCCCAGGATGCGACCCACACCAGTCGACTAACACCCAGGTACCTATTTGCTGCTAGGTGAACAGGACAACAGGTGTAAGGAAACGTGTCGAAATGTTTCCACCCGCCGGGAATCGAACCCGGGCCCTCCGTGTGTGAAGCGGGAGCTTTAGCCACCAGGCCACCGGGCCTGTTCAAATAATCTTCAGATGTTCAATGTATATAAATGTTTCATATGAACAGTTTTGTTTATACTAACCCCTCCATAACGGACACTTATTGCGTCTCCACCAGTGTCCGCTACAGAGAAGCTACACTGTACCACAACACAATACAAGCAGGAAGCGAATAATACGTTTTCGACACCAGGCAGACTAAACACTAAACGAAGTGTGTATCAACAATCGTCATCACAGGCTGTGCTGCCCCGCTCGTGATTGAAGCACCAGCGATAATTTCACACTGACCGGCAGAGAATTTCTGCTGACCGGCGGTTGAAAACCACTGACCCAGCTCACCCAGCAGCTTCTTCACCACTTCCTCAGCTATGTGTTGTGTGTCCAGCACTCAAAGCTGTACAACAACTTTGAGTCAGATTTATCTGTCAATGCTATGTTATGCTTGTATTGCCTAATTTTCCTGGGTCCTTGGTCTCCATACTTTTTCAGTTATCTAGTATGTGTGTGTGTGTGTGTGTGTGTGTGTGTGTGTGTGTGTGTGTGTGTGCACTCACCTAACTTACCTAATTGTGGTTGCTGGGGTCGAGACTCAATTCCTGGCCCCGCCTCTTCACTGGTTGCTACTGGGTCCTCTCTCTCTCTCCCTGCTCCATGAGCTTTATCAAACCTCGTCTTAAAACTATGTATGGTTCCCGCCTCCACTACGTCACTTTCTAGGCTATTCCACTGCCTGACAACTCTATGACTGAAGAAATACTTCCTAACATTCCTTTGACTCATCTGAGTCTTCAACTTCCAATTGTGACCTCTTGTTTCTGTCCCTTCCCTGGAACATCCTGTCTTTGTCCACCTTGTTTATTCTGTGCAGCATTTTATATGTCGTTATCATGTCTCCCCTGACCCTCCTGTCCTCCAGTGTCGTCAGGCCGATTTCCCTTAACCTTTCTTCATAGGACATTCCCTTTAGCTCTGGAACTAACCTTGTCACAAACCTTTGCACTTTCTCTAATTTCTTGACGTGCTTGATCAAGTGCGGGTTCCAAACAGGTGCTGCATACTCCAGGATGAGCCTGACGTACACGGTGTACAGTGTCTGAACAATTCCTTACTAAGGTATCGGAATGCTGTTCTCAGGTTTGTCAAGTGCCCATATGCTGCAGCAGTTATCTGGTTTATGTGTGCTTCCGGAAACATGCTTGGTGTTATACTCACCCTAAGATCTTTCTCCTTGAGCGAGGTTTGCAGTCTTTGGCCACCTAGCCTATACTTCATCTGCGGTTTTCTGTGCCCTTCCCCGATCTTTATGACTATGCATTTGGCGGGGTTAAATTCGAGAAGCCAGTTGCTGGACCAGGTGTCCAGCCTGTCCAGGTCTCTTTGAAGTCCTGCCTGAGCCTCATCTGACTTAATTCTCCTCATTAACTTCACATTATCTGTGAACAGGGACACTTCTGAGTCTAACCCTTCCATCATGTCGTTCACATATACCAAAAATAACACTGGTCCTAGGACCGACCCCTGTGGGACCCCGCTCGTCACAGGTGCCCACTGTGATACCTCAATATGTACCATGACTCGTTGTTGCCTCGCTCTCAGGTATTCTCTGATCCATTGCAGTGCCCTTCCTGTTGTGTGCGCCTGATCCTCTAGCTTCTGCACTAATCTCTTGCGAGGAACTGTGTCAAAGGCCTTCTTGCACTCCAAGAAGATGCATTCAACCCACCCCTCTCTCTCGTGTCTTATTTCTGTTACTTTATCATAAAACTCCAGAAGGTTTGTGACACAGGATTTGCCTTCCATGAATCCATGCTGGTTAGCGTTTATACTCTTGTTCCATTCCAGGTGCTCCACCACTCTCCTCCTGATAATCTTCTCAATAACACGTCAGTGACACAGGTCTATAGTTTAGTGCCTCTTTTCTGTCTCCTTTTTTTAAAAATGGGAACTACATTTGCCGTCTTCCATACCTGGGGTAGTTGCCCAATTTCCAGGGATGTGTTGAAGATTGTGGTAAGTGGCACACACAGCATATCTGCTCCTTCTCTAAGGACCCATAGGGAGATGTTGTCTGGTCCCATTGCCTTTGAGGTATCGATGTTACTTAGCAGCTTCTTCACCTCCACCTCATTTGTATGTATGTCATCCAACACTTGTTGGCATATTCCTTGCTGATGTCCCCCACTGTTCTGTCCCCCCAGAGGCCTTCCTGTCTCAACTGTAAATACTTCCTTAAATCTCATATTGAGCTCCTCACATGCTTCTTGATCTTTTCTTGTGAGTTCCCATCTTCTTTCATCAGCCTTATCACCTCTTCTTTGACTGTTGTCTTCCTCTTAATGTGGCTATACAGCAGTTTCGGGTCAGACTTGACTTTCGATGCTATGTCGTTCTCGTACTGTCGCTGGGCCTCCCTTCTTATCTGTGCATACTCGTTTCTGGCTCTGCTACTAATCTCCTTATTTTCCTGGGTCCTTTGCCTCCTGTACCTTTTCCATTCTCTGGTGTACTTAGTTTTTGCCTCCCTACACCTTCGGGAAAACCAAGGACTCGCTTTGGTCTTCCTATTATTTCTATTTCCCTTGGGAACAAACCTTTCCTCTGCCTCTTTGCACTTTGTTGTTACATATTCCATCATCTCGTTTATTGATTTTCCTACCAGTTGTCTGTCCCACTGAACCTTCTGCAGGAAGTTCCTCATACCTGTGTAGTCCCCCCTTTTATAGTTTGGCTTTTCCCATTCAGTTCCTGTTACCTTCTCCACATGTAGCTTTACTATAATCAAAACTCAGAACCACGTGATCGCTAGCTCCAAAGGGCCTCTCGTAATTGATGTCCTCAATGTGTGAACTGGTCAGGGTGAACACAAGATCCAGCCTTGCTGGTTCATCCTCTCCCCTCTCTCTCTCTCTGGTAGTGTCCCTGACATGTTGATGCATGAGGTTTTCAAGTACCACATCCATCATCTTGGCTCTCCATGTTTCAGGGCCCCCATGTGGCTCCAGGTTTTCCCAGTCGATCTCCCTGTGGTTGAAATCGCCCATTACCAGTAACTTTGCTCTGCTCGAGTGAGCTCTTCTTGTCACCTCAGCCAGTGTGTCCACCATCGCTCTGTTGTTTTCTTCGTACTCCTCTCTTGGCCTCCTGCAGTTCTCCAATGACTACTTTATGTTCCCCATCAGTTTTTTTATGAGCAGTGCAACCCCTCCTCCCCCTCTACTCCTTCTATCTTTCCTCAGGATCTGATATCCCGGTAGGAAGATTGCATCTGTTATTGTCTCAGCGAGTTTCGTTTCTGTGACTGCTATGATGTCTGGGGATTTCTCGCTGATTCTTTCGTGCCACTCCTCATATTTATTCGTTATTCCGTCCGCGTTTGTGTACCAAACCTTCAGCTTCTTTTCCATCACTGTGGTGTGTGTGTGTGTGTGTGTGTGTGTGTGTGTGTGTGTGTGTGTGTGTGTGTGTGTGTGTGTGTATGTGTGTCTGTATGTTTATAAAGTGGAGCCCGGTGTTTCAGCTTGTTGGTACCTAGGTGGTGTTCAAAATGCGAAATGTTCCATGTCCAAAAAAGTATTTTCCAGGCTTTAATTATCAGCCTCACTCATTGGATGATTTTGAAGTGATTTCTAAAAGATTTCTAAGAGTTAGGTCAATGTCAGAAGTGACTTAAAAGTACTTTTGAAACAGGGCTTTATAAAGTGTAAAGTTTTTACAACTGAATTTTAAACAAATCAGCGTGTTCGAACTCCAGGAAAACGTTCAAAGACGAGGCCAATTTTTTCTAAATAGAATTTTTTCGGACTTTGGTTTGTTCGAGATCTGGAACGTTTGAAAACTTGGTTTCCTCTGTATATATGAAAATAAAAATATTTTTACATATAACTAGCATAGTTAACTCGATTTTTTTTCCACAGACCGAGTGGGCCTAAAGGAGTTTTAGGGCAAATTGGTAACTCCACTTCAGCTATAAAAGTGAAAGCTTTCCCACTGTACTCCATTCTTCTGGCACTTAATGTGACAGTAGTCGACTTTTTCTCCCTCGACATTGAAGGTGTCGAGATGAAGGTGAGATACTGTCTTGTCTACATTTTAAAATTTAGATAAACATCGAATAGCCACTTACTGGACAGAAAAGTAATTTCTATTGACAAAATAACAAATATATGTTGACAAAAATACCAAATATATGTTAGCGGCACAATCTTGGAGGTATCCGCAGACAGCGTAGCGCTCACGGAAACGAAGCTCACGGGGATAACAGATGCAATCTTTCCATCCATATATCAGATACTGAAGGAAGGTAGAGGGAGAAGGGAAAAAAGGAGTTGCATTGCTCATAAAAAGCCAGTGGAGATTCGAGGAGACTGAAGGAATGGACTGAAGGGAAGAAAGGAACTACATAGTAGGAACACTTCAGACTGGGAGGTTCCAAAGTGGTGATTGCAGTGATATACAACCCACCACAGAATAACAGGAGGGCAAGACAAAAATATGATGAAAGTTACATAGCAATGGAGGGCAAACTAAATGAGGTGGCCATTATGACACACATGGGTAGGGCAAAATTAATAGTTGTGGTGATTTCAAACCCAAGGAGATTGAGAAACCCTGGTCTTGAGCCTCATAAGGAACCAGAAATGGGGATAGCTAAAATGACAGAGATGATACTGAAAAATCTCATGCATCAACATGTTTGGAACAATGCCAGAGAGAGAGAGAAGACGATGAACCTACAAGGCTGAGCATTGCATTTTTGCAACAAGAATGATACCGAAGCAAAGGGGTATGTCCAATGAGGAGAGGTTAGGGAAAATAAACCTGAGGACACTGGAGGACAAGAGGGACATGATAACGACATATAAAATACTGAAAGGAATTGGCAAGGTGGACAAGTACAGGCTGTTTTAGAGATATGACACAAGTGCAACTGGTCACAACTGGAAGTTGAAGGCTCAAATGAGTCACGGGAATGTTAGGAAATATTTCTTTATTCACAAATTAGCCAGGAAGTGGAACAATCTAGAGTCATGTAGTGGAGGCAGGATCCATACACAGAATTAAGGACAGATTCGATAAAGCTTATGGAAAATGGAGAGAGTGTACTTAGTAGCGACCAGCGATGAGCTTTGACTCGACCCCTGCAACCGCAGTTAGATGAGTACACACACACACATACATGGAAAGGAATAGGACCTAATACTTACTACCTGAAGTCTACCTGCAGGGTTTACCAGGGGTAAGCGTCCCTGCGGCCCCGTCCATAAGCAGGCCTCATAGTGGATCAGGGTCTGATGAACCAGGCTGTTACTAGTCCAACGTACGAACCATAGCCCTGTTGATCCGGCACTAACTTTACGTATCCATTCGGCTTCCTCTTGAAGACGGCCAGGAGTCTATTGGTAATTCTCCTTATGCCTGGTGGGAGGCTGTTGAACAGCCTCGGGCCCCGGACATTTACTGTGTTTTCTCTTAGTGTACTAATGGCGCACCTACTTTTCACTGTGGATATGTTGCACCGCCTGCCAATCAGAGGCACCAACTTTAACCCAGATGAACTCCTTCCTTCGATCCGTAAACTGCAACAGTATATCTGTTATTACCTTATCAATGCCACATCGCTTATGAACTAAAATTAAGTTGTAATAAACAACTGTCAATATATAAACAGAAGAGTAGACGACGGGAGGGGCGCGAACCACGGCTGAGAAGAGTTCTGTTGAGTTACAGTTGTTGCTCCTGTTGGAATATAATACAATATTAGTTCCAAATCTTTCCCAGTAGAGGTCCGGGTAGTCGAGACGATAGAGGATCAGACTATCAATTTATGGGTAACAGTTTGCAACCCCCATCTCACTCTCTGTTTATCCATTCTGAGAGGTTTGTTACAACCTAATTTGAGTTCAGATATGTGTGTGTGTGTGTGTGTGTGTGTGTGTGTGTGTGTGTGTGTGTGTGTGTGTGTGTGTGTGTGTGTGTTGTGTGTGTGTGTAGTGAAAAGTAAAGTTGGTATTCTTGAAATTAAAATTATGAATACACTATGAATCATTAGAGCCAAGTCAAATACTTTTATCCAATAAACGTTTTACCTCAAAATATCTTTCTTTTAGTAGACTTTTACACAAGCAGTCTACTGAGGAAATCTGTCAATTGTATCAGAAGTTGATGACCGTGACACTAAAACATGAAAGGGAGGTATCACTAACTAAAATGTAATTTCTAAAAAAAAAAATGGAATCATGGTACATGTGCAAATATCCACCAATATACCACTGCCCATTTTAAAAGAATTAACCCTTTTTTGTATAATTTAGCAGTCTTGTATGACAATTGTGAAAGAGAAGAGAATGGGTGAGGTGATGCTACCACTCTTGATTTTACCCTGGAAGACAGTACTTGTAAAAGTATAGAAATGTAGGACAGTGCACCAGATAGAGATATAGTGATCCTGATATTGAAGAAACTGGGAAAGACCAAGACTTACACAATTCAAAAATACAAGATAGCTGGAAATGAATATAAAAGGGATGATGCTTCGGAGTATAGTGTTGATACATTACCAGTAAGTACTGGTGGTGGCACTGATGCTAGCACAGGTGCTGTAGTTAATAGGGAGTCAGGAAAAACTACACCAGTATGGAACCCAGTCACCAAAAAAAAAAAAATCGTAGTGAACTGAAATCAGATCTGTGTAAATTCTCTGCCTTGCATATTTGAAGGCACAGAATATCTAAAAAAACAGGTGGAACGTGCAATTTTGACCATCCAAAAAGGATGCCCTGACCTCATTACCAAAGGAGAATGCAATTCTGCTTTTAAGCTATTTCCCCAAGATATGTGTTATTCGTCAGTCCTTAAAAGACAATGCTACAACAGTGAGGAGGAGAGAGGGAGGAGATTTTATTGTTTGGAAGGGGAATCCCCCTCCATAAGGACTTCAGGTATCAAAGTCCTATCCAGGGATACTTCCCTTCTTCGTCTTTTACTGGCACTAGGACCAGCTTGAGAGTCACTGGACTTCCCATACATCCTAGCGAGCGCAGCCACACTTACACCACTTGCGTATCTTTCTACAAGTTCTTTCTTGAATTCTATCGTGTTTCTCTCTTCTTTTTCAAAGGACCGACACTCTGAATTTTCTTTGGCCCCATGGTGGCTTATTTACCCACCATGGGGCCAAAAAATGGATTATTATGAAATGTTTTGGAAGAATGCGCCAAGAAATGCTCACTGAGCGAGTAATAACTATATGAGCGGCCGTGTCCCATGGCCAGGCGGAAGAGTCTGGTATGAACAATTTCGAAGCAGATGCACAAAAAAGGGGAAAATTTCGCCGAGAAATGTGATCAAAAACTGAATTGTATGATAACCGGACCGGACGAAAACCAGGGTTCCACTATATATAGGATCTAAAGTCATCAACAAACAATATATCTTTAGTCAGTGGACTGTTCAAAGAGTCAAATACAATGTTTCCAGATTTTAGAGAAACCTACACAAGATTCACTTCGACAACAAAAACATAGACCCCAGGATACAACTTATTCGGATGCAACAGAAATAGCAGGAAACCAGGGAAGGTTGACCTGTATGTTAGAGCCGTTCATTTGCTCGGAATTACTAAACACCAGAAATGTAGTTGAAGTTCTGGCAGTAAAGATTTAAAACAAAACCTTGTCATTGTGGTTGTATACAAGACACCAGAAACAACTTCCAATAATTCAAGGAACAGCTTTTGGAAATTGACTTCTGTCTGGATAACCCCAGGAGACTGCTTACGTGAAAATTCACACACACACATGACCTATTAAATCTCAGCAACAGATTCACCTGAAGCCAGCCAACAATGGAGCCAACAAAACGGGAAAATACACGTGAACGAATCTTCACTAATGATGATGATCAGGTAAGAAATAAAACATAATTGAAATACAGACATGTATGTGTAGGGCTAATGACCAGCAGACGAAATCAGTGCCTTCACCAAATTCAACTTCAGTAACAGAAATATACAGTGGGATCAAATTAACCAGGTCATAAATAGAACAAGCCGAGAAGGTATCGTAAACAACACGGATCCAAATCTTTGCCTAGAAAGAATTAACTCTTTGGTACTTGAGGTATGCTCAATGCACATTTCCCTAAGAAAAAAAAAAGAGAAGATGTAAAGTAGAAAGAGAAATGCTTCCTCTACAGGCGAAGGTGAAGAATCACAGAGCTGCTGTAAGGAGTCAGTACATCTGAAATACAGAAGGAGACACTGGCCAGAGAAATAGAAAGTATCGAACTTAACCTTAAGGAATTATACAGGAGCCAAGAAAAGTAGGAAGTACTTAAAACCGTAAGTGAAATTAAAAAAAAATATCTTACACCAAATCTATGGCAAAAATCACATCCAGTATTGTGTCTCTGCTTAAGTACCAATTACTCTATGCCTTGTTCTCACATTCAGCTATGGAAGGTTAATTACAGTCCTGACAGATCTGAATTGCTTCCACATATACGTGATACTTGCATTTGGCAGTGAAGAGACGTTGCTAGCCTCTTTGGTCTTGATAAATTAGACACATGTGCAACTCTTGGGTATCTTTATTGATACCCAAGAGTTGCACATGTGTCTAATTTATCAACGTGTCGGTTCTCTGAACCATTCATCTACAACTCTGTGGTCTTGATGTCCCACAGCATTTTCCTCACGGCAATCTAACACTAAACTTACTTTGTACTCCGCTCGTCACTCACATCACTATCAAGATATTATCATTTTGCTGTCCAGATGTTCACACTTTTTCATATATAGTAGACACATACCTGGACAAAAATGTCCAAGACTGATGGCTGTTATTTACAACCTGTTTGTTTTTTATTTATTTTTTCTATCTCACTCTCTGTATAATTTTTGATTATGCTCACTGACTAATCTAACGATTTTGCCCTCACTTATTTCTCTGTTTTGGGGGTCACCTTATCCTGCTGATATTGCTGTAATGATCCACTTCTAATAATACCAGGTGCCTGACACTCGTCCTGACTTGCCTCCTCACTGCTTCCAGCAAATACCGGCACTTTCAAGTTGTCATATTAAACTGTGGTCCTCACCTGCCTCTTCTGACTTTGGGTGCCTTGTTACACGTTGTGGGTTTGTTTACTAACCCGGTCACGTTCAACGTCCTATGCAAGATCCTAGGGTAGGCCCTAAAACATTAAAATGCAGGGAGCGCTGTTCCTATATATTACTATCACGCACGTACATGCTCGTGTGTTTGTGCGTGCCTGAATATTTACAGGGGTTGTTATACAGTACATATTACTCTATATCATTTCTTTACAATAACCCGGTTTAGTCTTTAATGTTTTATTTTCTTAAAATTGTTGTAGCATCAGAAAATAAACTGGTTTTGCAATAAAATAAAGTTATATCTTTTATCTATAGTGTATTTAAAATGTTACTTTGTGTGTTCCTTCAGGTATTAAAAACAGTTCCTTGGGAGAAGATCACATTCCGTCTCATGTGTGTGGAGATCAACCATGTTCCAGAAGGTCCAAAGGTTCTTATAGAATATATGAAGAGTCAGGGTTACAAGTTCCTTGGTATCAAAGGTATTGACGCCTGGTTCGGCTGGCCAAAACTCTTAAAACAAACCATGAAGAAAATCTAAACCGTCTTTGTGTTTTAATTCTGTTACATTCACCATTTTGTTTTCAAGTGCTAAGGTGCTTTATTTTATTTAGGTGACGTGAAATTTTCTTTGGATTCCTGACTGTGAGGGAAAGGTATTTAATTCTGAATTTTATAGTTTACAATATTATCATTTAAACTGAACATTAAAATGGTATAAAATACCGACAGGTTGTTAGGTAAGACACATATGCAACAGTTAGGTATCTTTATTTCGAAACGTTTCGCCTACACAGTAGGCTTCTTCAGTCGAGTACAGAAAAGTTGATAGAAGCAGAAGATACTTGAAGACGATGTAATCAGTCCATCACCCTTAAAGTTTTGAGGTGGTCAGTCCCTCAGTCTGGAGAAGAAGGCCCCATTCTGTCACTTCAACTTCATATTGTTTCAGACAACGGAACAATGCTCTTCTCCAGACTGAGGGACTGACCACCTCAAAACTTTAAGGGTGATGGACTGATTACATCGTCTTCAAGTATCTTCTGCTTCTATCAACTTTTCTGTACTCGACTGAAGAAGCCTACTGTGTAGGCGAAACGTTTCGAAATAAAGATACCTAACTGTTGCATATGTGTCTTACCTAACATCATTTAAACTAATTTGTTCACTAAATATTTCCACATTTTACTTAAGAAATGTCATTGACTTTAATGGGAGGAAATACATACATTCTCTGTCTGGTTTACCTCCATGAAGTATACTCTATAAATAACATTTTGGTGATTTCTGAAAAATGTATATTTTATATTTATGAATTCGATTTTTTTGATGTGTTTCCCATTATCCAAGTTGTAATATCGAAAATATTAAATAATACCTACATACTTTCAATGATGATTCTCAATAATTCACCTTTCACTTATCTGAATGTAAAATTACAATGTAAATGTACAATGAACATTATAATAAGAACATAAGAACGAAGGAACACTGCAGAAGGCCTACTGGCCCATGCGAGGCAGGTCCAAGTCTCCTACCGGCTTAAGCCAATGCACCCAACCTAGTCAGGTCAGGTCACATTGACTTAAGGGAGGAACACGGCAACCGACCTGGTAGCTCAAGCTATCAGGTCCAACTCACACCCACCCACATCTACTCATGTATTTATCCAACCTATTTTTAAAGCTACACAACGTTTTGGCCTCTATAACTGTACTCGGGAGTTTGTTCCACTCATCCACAACTCTATTACCAAACCAGTACTTTCCTATATCCTTCCTGAATCTGAAGTCCATTCCCATATTCTAATTATGGTAGACTCTCAGGTAAGATATATGGACCACGCTTTTTGTAACAGACAGAAAGGTCAGACAGTGTTCTCCCCAAGAGCTGGAGTTGGTGACATAATCAGCAGGGTGGATATTATGTCAGGTAATGGGAACAAGCCCATTATCTTAGTGCTGGTGGAAATGACATCTGGAAGGGCAGGAGACAGGAGCTACTGGATAAGTACAGGTCAGCTATAGTAGTAGTCAAGTCTAAGGGAGGGATCCCTATCATATGTAGCATCTTGCCTAGAAAGGAAGTGGGCAATGAATGGATGTCTAGGGCAACTGGTATAAACTGCTGGCTAGACAGGTACTGCAAGGAACTTGCAATCTCATTCATTGATAACTGGGGCAAATTCTATGGCAAACATGATATGAATGCAAGGGATGGTGTTCATCTCTATGGGGCAGGAGTGGTAGCATTAGCCAATTTGATTGACGGGGTAATTGATGACTTGTCTAGGAATTTAAACTGATAGATTATAGAGGTATGGGCGTTTGTGGGATATTACCAGGATGTCCCGGGGGTATGTTTAAAGGACAATATTCAAAATAATGTTGCTATGACTCACGAAATCGTAATGACACGATTGCAAACAAACCATACCACGGACGGGGATAGAACCCGCGATCAGAGAGTATCAAAACTCCAGACCGTCGCGTTAGCCACTGGGCCACTTGGCCCAGTGGCTAATGCGACGGTTTAAAAACGCTAACGGTTTAAAGTTGCTAGTAAAGGCAAAACAATTGCTCAACAAACAGAGGCAGTAGAGTGCAGCTATTGACTAGCTACTTTAAGGTTTACTATACAAATAGTAGGAGTCTAACCTTCTGAATGCAACATACAGGGTTATAAATTATTCCACGCTGATAGGGTCAACAGGAAGGGTGGTGGAGTGGCGATGTATGTATGACTTCGTTCTTGCCAACAAAGACTCACTAGTTAACAATCCTGAGGTTAATGATGAGCTTGGGGAAATCAATCACAAATCACTTAGTTTCAATATATCATGGAATTACCCAGATATATGCAACCAAGTCTCTGTCGCTTGGCCGACTTCAAGGGACTGAGAAATTACCTGGGTGGTCTAAATTGGGATGACCTGACTTTGGGTCAGGTAGGTGGTGTTGGTTGCCAATATAACATGTTTCAGAGCAGGGAAATAAGATTTAACAAAAATGATCCCAAATGGATATACAATAGATTAAAATATCTCATTGGTCAAAAGAGAGGCACATACAGGCATATCAAAAGAAGGGATGGGCAGTTAAGAAATCAATATATTCAACTGAAGAGAGATACAAAGGAATACGAAAAGCAAAATGGAATTATGAGGCTCAAGAAGACTAACCCAAAAGGGTTTTCAAGTATACAGAGGTAAGATTAGGGATAAGATAGGCCTACTTAAGAGTAACTCAGGTCAGATCACTGACAGTGATAAGGAAACGTTTGAACTTTTCAACACTTACTTCCTCTCACATTTTACTCAGGAAGTTACTAGCGAAATTCCAGAAATAATAAATTATGTAGAACAGGACGATAATAAACTGTGCACTATTGGTGTAACTAGTGACATGGTCCTCAGACAAATAGAAAAATAAAAATCTAACAAATTCCCAGGCCCTGATGAACTGTTTGCGAGAGTTTTAAAGCAATGTAAAGAGGAACTTAGCATACCTTTGGCTAATCTTTCCAATATATCACTACAAACTGGCATAGTGGCAGACAAGTGGAGAATGGCAAACGTAATACCTATTTACAAAGCAGGTGACAGGTCCATAGCTTCTAACTATAGACCAATAAGCCTTACCTTCATAGATGGAAAATTTATGGAATCAATAATTGCCGAAACAATTCGTGGACATCTTGAGAGGTATAAATTGATTAATGAATCTCAACACGGGTTTACAAAGGGCATTCCTGTCTTACGAATTTATTTTCTTCACTAAGGTATTTGAAGAGGTACATCATAGTACAGAATATATTTTGTATATGGACTTCAGTAAAGCTTTCGACAGAGCTCCACATAAGAGGCTACTGATGAAACTTAAGGCACAAGGAATAGGAGGATAAATTTTTTCCTGAGTAGAGGCATGGCTGACAAATAGGCAGCAGAGTGTTTGCATAAATGGGGAGTAATCAGAATGGGGGCACGTCACAAGCGGTGTTCCTCAGGGGTCAGTGTTGGGCCCGTTGTTGTTCACAATTTACGTAAACGACATAGATGAGGGAATAAATAGCGACATTAGCAAATTTGCTGATGACACCAAAATAGGCCGTCCAATTCATTCTAATGAGGACAGAGCACTCCAGGATGATTTGAATAGAATTATGCAGTGGTCGGAGAAGAGGCAGGTGCAAAATTCTAAATGATGAACAGGAAAATAATCATGCTATTTAAACTAAATAATCTTACCAGTTCTGAAAAGGATTTTGGAGTTTGGTTAGAATCTGAAACCAAGACAATAGTGCACAAGTGTTCGCTTAATATCAAGAAGCATAAATAGTAGAAGTCCTCAGGTTGTTCTTCAACTTTATATGTTAGTGTGCAGCAATATTCCAGCTTAGAGAGAACAAGTGACCTGAAGAGTGTCATCATTGGCTTGTCATCCCTAGTTTTGAAGTTTCTCATTATCCATTCTATGATTTTTCTAGCAAATCCGATGGATACAATGTTGTGGTCTGTGAGAGTCAGATCCTCTGACATTATCACTCCTAGACCTTTTACATTAATTTTTTTTCCTCTCTATTGTGTGACTGGATTTTTTTTTATACTCCAATATAGTTTTAATTTCTTCACGTTTTCCAAATCGGAGTAATAGAAATTTCTCATCATTGAACTTCATTTTGTTTTCTGCTGCCATTTTAAAGATCTGGTTGATGTCAGCCTGGAGTCTTGCAGTGTTTTCAATGAAGGACTCTGTCATGCAAATTCGGGTGTCATTTGCAAAGGAAATCACGGTGCTGTGGCTTACATCTCTGTCTATGTCATATAGGATGAGGAACAAGTTGGGATTGAGTACTGTACCTTGTGGAACAGAACCTTTTACAGTAACCGCCTCAGACTTTACTCTATTTACTACTCTGTGTTCTATTTGTTAGGAAATTATAGATTCATCTTCTAACTTTTCCTGTTACTCTTCTACCTCGCATTTTGTGTGCCATTATATCATGGTCTCACCTGTGAAAGGCTTTTGCCATGTCTGTGTATACATCTGTGTTTTGTTTGTCTTTTAGATCATCCAGGACCTTGTCATAGTGGTCCAGTAGTTGGGACAGGCAGGAACGACCTGATCTAAACCTAAGTTGCCCTGGGTAGCGTAACTGATGAGTATCTAGATGACTGGCGATCTTGTTTCTTAGAACTCTCTCAGATATGGCATGTTAGTTTTTTGCTATTACTTTTCTGCCCCATTTGTGGAGTGGGGCTATGTTGTTTTTAGTAGCTGTGGGACGACCCCTATGTCCATGCTCCCTCTCCATAGAATGCTAAAAGCAGTTTTTGATGAACACGGAGTTCCATGAGTCTGGGCCTGGGGCAGAGTGCATGGGCATGTCATTTATTGCTTTTCTGAAGTCATTTGGCACCAGGATATTAACACTATTAAAAATTCACATTTTTATCATTAATTTGTATTTTATTCAAAATCCTTACTTGATAGAGCAAAATGGTTTACATATTTACTCTCAGCAGCCCAAGAATATGTAAGATCGCAACCATGAATAAAAATAAAAAATTAAAAACATTCCAAATGAAGACCAGTATTATTTGTCCATTTAGGTTCATTTTTGTTTGATCTGATTTCCTTATTTGGAACATAAGTTGTCTGAGCAGCTCTGGAAAACGTCATATAGCCAACCATCAC